AGTGCTTGCTTCTTGTTAGATCCTTCCTCTTCTTCATTGCAGGTCGCCTTGCGTTTTGTCGCACCCGCCAATCCCGGTTCTTACAGATACACACTGTGGGTTCGATCAGATAGTTACGTTGACTGCGTGTTCTCCGATACTCTTCGGGTAAGTGTTCTCCACAGCCTCACATATGTTATGCTTCGATTCATTTCCCCATTTCATTGTTGCACATTCCTCTGTTCCTCAGTTTAAAGTCAGTTCGCCTCCAGACAATGTGGCACGCTACTTACAGTCGTTGGATGAAGCCCACTCCGATTCGAGTGGGTCGGGGTCTGAATCCGATGACGAGCGAAGTGACGTGGACCTGTCCGACGGAGAAGCCGATGAAGGTGTCAACAACTCGACAGAGAGTGATACGGACGAAGAGGAAGCCACAGTGGCAACTGAAGATGACTCTCAGGCCAATCGTTTGGTTTCTCAATGTATATCATAATGCCCTACCCTGAGGACAAGAGAGGTGATTTTGTTGCTGAAAGTATATACCTGTTCCTTTGTGTCGAGACGGTGTTCATGTTGTCAGGGCTATGGTGGGTCCTGCGTAGCGATGGTCCGTTTCGGCTTTCTCAATAATGGTCCACTGATGACTGAGCGTAACCAGTCGCAAATGTACCGAATAAATAAATCCTGCATCCAGGCACAGCGGCCGAAATCGTTCACTCAAGCTAACAGACTACTGACCGTTTGATACGATGTTTTTGTGCGCCTAATTTGCATTGGTTCCGTCGCAGTTCTCCTCTTCATCTGAATTAGTGGTTGTAGCACAATGCCTTTGTTGCCTGATATGTATATAAGGAGGACGCACGCTACTCAAATTTTGGGGACTTACTGAATCAAAAGAACACATTCGTGTGATTGCTCTTACTGTTACCAGCACGTTCCACCTATGCATCATTATGGTCATCGACAGCAATACACAAGTAACAAGTACGCGCACCTGACTGAGGAAGACAAGCCTCATCAAAGGACGGAAACCACCAGAAGGGGTGGATGTAGCTTCCTGTACCGAGAAAAACCATCAAGAAGAAGATGTCCCCGTTTTGGAACGGCAATCAGTTAAACGTATTTGGGCATCTCATAGGAATAAGGCGGCATTAGTGTATCTGACCCAACTTCCTTTGTGAACCTCATCAGAAATGTTCCAAGCACGCATCGACAGACAAGCTCTAGTTAAGCACTTCGACGAGGAAGTGACTGCATGCTCATCACTGGCTATGTCCTTGAAAGTTTCTAACCACGTATGTGTCAACAAAACAAAAGCCATAATTACCGTCGGGTAGCACCTCGAACTTGGGATAGTGTATTTGCACTGTTTCACGACCTCTTGGTCCTTTCTCAATCACCTGACTCTGTATTTTTGTCAACCCAAATCGGGTGGTTGGTTTTCCTTCTTATTCATGTTGTACGGTTCTGCGCCAATTTATCTCTTGTAATTGCGATAAAGTTGTAACACTTAATCAGGTTGTCCAGTTAATGTAGTCTTCTGACGTCGACTTCCGGACGACAAGCTCGCATTCCTTCAATCAAAGATGGAAGTCTGTCGTTCGAAGCGTATGTAGCACAGCCTTCTTCTGAATTTCAACGGTGTTTTAGAGATAAAAGAATGTTCTCATCAGAACAATATTTCAGAATCGGTCACCATAAAAACTACTGTTTCAATAACTGCGGTACACCAAAGGAATGAGGTTCTAATGGAATGCTCGGCAAAAGCTTTTGCATGTATGAGAGTCCGCTTTCGTCCATGGATGTGAGTGCTTTATCCGACATACTAACGTTTGGCGTATACTCTTTGTACCCGTTAATCCATTTTAAATACAAAACCAATTTGTACGAGGATGAAGTAAGCCTTTCCAAAACGATGGGCAGTCAAACTGACTGACCGGTGAGTTGGAAGAGCAACCGATTTGACGCGCACACTCCATATCGGTTATCAGTGCGTGTTCCTCACTCACGTGATAAGCTAATCTTGTAAACCATCAACTGCTCTCTCGAATATAATAGTTAACCTCGTTGTGCAACGTTTTTCGCTCTTTCTGCATTGTCAGATTCCAACTAGAGTTGCTGTAGCCAGGACGCGCCCCCTACTGTGTGAGTCACAAGGGAGTAAGCGCCTGATGAGGCACAGTGAACACCTGAGCTGGGTCATCATCATCATCATTGTCAGCTGTAATAACCGCGTACTCGTCGTACAGTGGTTGCAGCTGCCGCGGTTTCGTTCACCGATGATTTCGGGGAGGGAGTAGGTAGCTGCGCATTGCAGGCGCGAGCTGGTAAGTTGGTGCATAAATCCAGCACTGTCAGTGGGCTGTCAAGTGGTGAGGGGGTTGGAAAAGGAGCTATGCATTGAAGGCAATAGCTCTGATGCACGAGCGCCATTGAGGACGCGACTGGGCCATGTCTGACAATGTCTCCGGCCATTGATGTGGCCCCATCCAGGAAGACGGCAGGGACCAGCGCAGCTGAGTTTGCTGGTAATGGCTTTCATACTTCGCTGCCAAGTCATTGTTTGACCGCCTCTGGCTCTCTTCCACCCTTCACGTGGTTGTGCGAAAAGAGCCCTTCGAGGAAGTCGGTCGACTGGCATACGCAGCACGTGGCCAAGCCAACGCAACCTGTGCAGTGCGATCAGTTCATCTATCGAGGGGGAGTTATTTCTCCCGAATACCATTCGATGTACTTCAGAATTGCTGATCCGGTGTTCCCACCAGATTCGGGCAATGCTCCGAAGACATCGATGGGTAGATCCCATTCCGTATGTGTTCAAACGAACTCCAACCACGCTAGTCACTTTTTCGGCCTGTCAGGTCTCAATGAAGGCTGACAGACGCTCGAATTATGTCTGAGCATCTATCATGCCGCATTCGAACTAGATGGACCAAGGATATGACAAGTACGACTGTCGTCCAGCATACTTGGTCCGTTAGAGTCCTCCCAGATTACTGCACTGCAGTTTTCGTTTTTTAAGTTGAGAGTGGTTGTCGCATTTTCATTGGCGATTGGTGGACAAAACCACTCATTCTTGGGAGGAAACAGTAATAGAACGTCAGGGTCGAAACGTTATTCTGTTAACTTTCAAAATTCGCTAGAAGTTTGATTTATGAATCACCCGAGATATCTATAAATCGTTTTGAATTCTCAGCAGTTTTCCGAAAATAAGCTGCTAGAAAACGAGACAACACCTAATTTAGATATAAATAGGTCGATTGGTCAAATGAGGATACGTGGCTATACGTAAAACTAGGACGCTGCAGTTCTCTCGACCGTTGACTTCATTTAAACACTGGTATCTTTGAAGGTTGTCGTCCTGAAGTGTTTGCAAGTGGCTAGTTTCTTCTTGCTGAGGTCTACAAGCCCATAGGGCACATTCCTCCATTAGCAGCCTCAGAATGACACTGGCGGAGCATACTTATCTGAAAACTAGGTTGCCGTTGGTGGGAGACTCAAATGAATCTCTCAATTGCAATATTCTCCAACTGAATGTGCTGTACGAAGGCCGGCTCACGTTTCACTTGGTACAACATTCGAGGAATCACTGTATATTGTTTTGACGGAACATACTAGTGTCGAAGAGATTTCAGCAACCCTATGAATAGGGTAATTTTCCGAGGATACGTCAGACTTTGTGTGTCCCTCTAAGCTGCTTCCACAAGATGCCGGGTCCACGCGTAGTTAATAGAAAATGTTGAAGAGAGATCAGATTAAGGTTTGCCATCACATGTATCTGAATTAGACCGATAGCCAGGTTTCTACGAAAGCACTGAATCCCGACTGTAAGTTAATCCTTGACTACGAAATGGGCACACACACACTGGAACACTTTTATGCACGAATCCCTTGCAATCTAACTTTCAAAACTAGTGTAATGCTAACATAAGATTACCGCATTTGCCAAAAACCTCTGTGAGAGGCAATCGCAGCGCTACATAGATATATACTGGAAACGAACATCTACTTGTCTACGTTACAAATGGCATCCAAGAACCCTTGATCGTCCATGTTATTTTTACCGTTCGCTGGTAGTAAGTCGCAAACAAAAACTTGTGCTCTTGAAGCAGATCCGGTGTTTTGCTTTACCATCGTTGGTTTTGCAAGCTCGGTTTCTCTACACCTGGTGTTACGTGAATCAAAACTGAATACTGACTACATGGCCTTAAGCCAGACTGCACGAGGCGTTCCTTGTTTTTTTGTTCGGTCAGACCGCAGGCACCAGGACCTATTTATTACTGTGTAGCAGTATTTTTGTCATCATTAGTTAAAGGCATTACCAGACTTGATCCAGTAGTGAACTCAGTGGCGCGGATGCATCGAACCTATGGATAACTTGTTCTTCCCATCTTCCCCAGTAAATAGTTCGCTGACACCCTGTATTGATGCATCAATTATATCAGCTTCCACATACAATGCGTAGCTATTCACCCCAGATTATCGGCGAACGAAACCGTGGAAGCTATAACCACCGTATAACAGGCACGCGGTCTTTAGGACTGATGATGATGCGCATCGTGACGGCCTGTGAACAAACCTGGTTGCCAGGCTGAACAGGGTTGACTGAAACCAGTTGTCCCCAGTTTCATCGGCATTTTGACCCAACTTTTGGACTTGATTGTGGAAACAAACGGACTGAAATACCGTCACTGTTGGATTCTTTTCTCTGTTTGGCGTTTGTCACTATCAGGGTGATCCTACAATCGGGATCCAATATTTCTCCGAACATTCCGTCTCCTCTCAATCGAACTTGTCCGCCAGTCTTCAAAGTTTATAATTATATTGCATAAGAACACAAAATTATCTGTCCGAGAGTGCGTAAACCTGGTAGATTTTACGTGATAATGCTGTTGGTCTTTTGGTCATTAAAACCGAGCGCACTCAGTCATATAAGCATTGCTTTTTCTTCAGCGAGACTGCAGACCGCAACAAATGAAACTTTGCACACAGCTACAAAGATTCTGGAATTAAATTTGGAAGCAACAGAGCTATCGATATTGAAATGCAGTCTCCAGTCAAAAATGACCGAACAGTGGTCCTACCGCTGACGTTTTCATATTTGATCTGGTATGAGCAGGCCTAAGGAATCGTATCCTGTAGAGCTGGCCATCGCGCAACACACGCGGATAGTGGATGTGCAAAAAGCTGTTTTAAAGCTTGAAGGACTTTGTGATCGACACCCTCGTAATTGGACTGAAGCCGCGCTCAGTCTTGAGCTAAAGATTGTTGCAGTTTGATACCGATTAACCTGCTACTGCGTTTAGGGAATTTGATCTTACGAAAACAAACGAAGGCCTGGAAACATCACAAACGAGATATTCAGCTGGGTTCCAGGTGAATCTCTCGCAAAACCAAATTATTTTGCAAATGTGTGTACTTCGCCTATTTGAATTCACTTGTATAGTGGCGATTTCCCGACAACTTTTTAGAACAGAATAAAAAAGCACCACACTATTTAGAGTATAAGCTACTTCGAGCCGAGCTTCCGATAGGCAGTTCGACATTAGGTCTTTTCGTGTTCTAGTAATCGACAGAACATAGTTCTCACGTGAAGCCATCAGTTTACTGCTAAAATGTATTCAGGTCACAACCAACTGAGGTCAGTTGCATTACGTTGGTACATTTTGCCGTTGTTTTGATGTTAAGGGGTGCCTGGCGGTGGCAGTGTATGAATCCACGTGATCAAGTGGCTTGATTTCAAAGTACTGGTCCTTTTGCCAACGCGATTGCCTGAGAAAAATTGGACATGAGCATTAGTTACAAACAAGTCACGAATTCCAGTTGAATTTATGGCCCATAGTGGATACACTGACAATTTCTCACGTTTAACCGTGGGTCGCTTTCGAATGTTATGTTATGGGAATGCCACATGGCACGGAACAAGGGATCGAGGAGAGCAGAGAACTTTGCCCGTCTGTGAACCGTGAAGCTGTTGTTGTTCGTTCGGCTGTAGCACCCTTTCGGTGCCTAACTGCCATGCTACCCGAAGAAAGCACGAGCACTAGGTTGCCAAAGCCTAGACGGGGAAAGTCGAGATGCAGGGGTCGGGTTCGAACCACGAACCTTCCGGCCAGTAAATCCCCGCTCTAACCGCTGAGCCACCTCGCCCCTGTGAAGCTAGCCGAACATTATGGAACGAAGCTATTTCCGAAACAGTTTCGCATTGTTCGAATACAAGACACATCCAAGTCGCGAGACATCAGTCGCCAGTGGTAATGTACGTATGGAGCGCGAGACAACCGGAGGATCCTATTACTGCAGACGCACAACAGTACTCGCCGCCGACCGAATCCTACCAGGTTAGTAATATAAACGATCAGCCAGGAATTTGCAAGATGTCGACGGGGACTAACAGGTAACGTACCGGTCGATACACATGGAATTTATGGTATGCCAGGAAAAGCAGTCCTCAAAATTATTGCTGGAGAGCCGGTGTGTGAATGATGCATGCATAGCGTAGGCCAGCAAAGCACGAAGAACAGGGACGGATCAATAATTGCTGAGTTACTGTACTGACAAGTATGAATTGATGGAGGTTGCGTGAGCTGCAAGCGTGTTTGGTGCAGGGTCGTGGAGACCACTCATACTGTGATTATCCGTGGGTCACGAGGGCTGTGGACTTCAGGGTTGGAAGGAAGGGTCTAAGAAGGAATGGGAGTAGCAAAGCGCGATCCATAAATGTCACTTGTTTGTTGCGAAGTCCAGGAACTGACGCTTCTGGCGATTCACACAATTTTAGCCTGGGCTTGATGATCAAACTTGTGAGGAAATAATCTGGATGCGCAAGGCCATGTGTACTCACCAAGACTTGCATACAATTAAGCTCACATGATATGAACATGCATGTTCGTGACTTTTCTGATTCTGAGAGTTTTGTGTAGAAAATTTGAGGGATAGATGAATGCCAGTAGAATATGCGATTGTTCCGTAAAATTGGGGGTTTTGCCGACTTTCTGAACAGTTGTCACAAATGTGAACAACAAACACGCATTTCGTGTAGTTTAGGTTGCTAAACAATAAGTCGATCGGGGCAAATCGCAATCAACCCACTGTTAGCCACTAACATTGGTGATTATAACGTGATTTCCACACTTAGTTTCGCAGTGCGACCCAAATTCGGATTTTGCTATAAGTGCGCAGTTTAAAATGAACAGAAAACTTGCTGAAGGATACACACACCATGTGTCCGAATACCTGACTTTGATGAACGAACTGTTTCGTTTTGTTTATCACAGTCATCAGTGGTACGATAAAACGTGCCACACCGGTAAATCAGAGAACTGACAGACTGATTTGTCTATTCGTTTGGTGGCTTGAAAAGGTGACAATCAATATCAACATGGCGAATTAACCAAAACGCGATGTAAGGACTAAGCGAAAGGCAAATACGCAAAAACACTATAGGAGGTTTGTATTCAAAAAATAAAGTAGGCTGAGATAGAATAAAGCTCAGTGATTGGCGACAAAGTCAATAAGCGCTTTGTGCGGTATGCATTGATTGTCTGGAGAGTTCACATAATAACCCAAGGGAACCAGATATGGAGTATAGGGCGGCTTTGAGCAGGTTGGTTCCAGGTCATTCAAATCCACACCCAATGAGCACAAAGAAGGAAAGCTTGAAATAAGTGGCGCCAATATGCCGAACTAATGCGAGATCAACTAGGCAAATTCCACGGACGATTTGTTTTCTTGTGGCGGCTGATGGCGATCCGAAACGGGGGATCGGCCGTCGGATGTGGTTGACTGTTCATTGGCGGTCAGTATATCGATCAGTTGCTGTAGGGGCACGAGCTCACGCTTTTGGACAAGGTCGAATTCCTGAAGAAATGCATGAGACAAATGTAAGTATACTTGGGTGACTGAAGAAACAGAAAGACGAACACAACAACCATGGTCAGTAGAAGTGAGTCTCGCATCACCCTTGACCAATCACCTAATTGAAGGCGGTGCTTCTGGTGTTTACCAGACGGAAGGGAACGCGTAAGGCTTGGATTCGTAAAGATCCAGTCTCCCTTCGCACTAGTATCACTTAACAAAAATCAAATCGTTCAGTCTCGGCACCTTTTTGCTGTATAGTCCTCATGCAATCCGAAAGACCGAGAGAGTCACTTCGTGTCGGAGCATGCATTCCGATAGGAGATGAACCGTCTTCTGATCACAATAAGACAACACTTGTGTAGCTTAGTAAACGAACGACCATACGGGGTTCCTATCTTTCGTTCCCATCAATACAAATTTCTACAAAATTTCACTCGTAAAAGGTGGTGGGCTGGAGCAGTGTTAATCGCTGCAGTAGGTTCAAAATGACGGCTGTTTATTTCTAAGGATCTCCCATCCTATGAAACGCTGATATGGTGTTCTGGCCCCTGTTTTCGGACTGACCCGTCACATTGACTATGCTGATGGATTCCCGCGCACAATGGATAATGCCACATTTGGTTCGCTATGAACCACACGTGCATGCACCTGAACGTTCTGTACCTACGGTACATCTAACAACAGTTAAAATCGCAACCCAAAACAACATATTACCACGCACACAAAGTGGACTTGAGATAGCATTGAAAACAAAGGAAAGCCTGGTAACCGAAACCGGGGATGAACCACTAGTGAGCCGCTTACTGCCAGCTTAGATTAGAGCGATGGAAATAACTAAAAAGTTGAGCTACACAGCGCATGTAAAGAGTCATTTGGTTGCCCGCACCAATCATTAGCCATTATTCTATACAACTGTGGACATGGGGAGAGAGACACTTGCAGCGTCGCTGCGGGCTTAGCACTCCGAAACATCAAGGGTAGTAGGGCGGGGCCTTGTAGAAGCAGATGGGAACATCATCATCATCTTGGACAGCATGATATTACTGTTAAACACTAGTTCTTCGCCGCCATACAACCATGCTTTATTTGGAAGCCTTACTGTGAAGAAAAGAATGAAGCTGGACAGCCTAGCTATTCAACCCAATGGTAGGGAGCCTGCAATATCAGCTGATATTTAGTTGTCTCCAGCTAAAAGCGAATTGGTATGCAAATGAGTATATTCCGTGCTGATTCTCATCATATGGATGTTGACGCGGATCATATAGATCACCTCCTACTAGGAGCGTCCCTTCTGTACTTCACCACAAAATCACTGCTCTGTTCATAATTTTTCACCGTGTCCAAGAAATTACGGCGGAATTCTTTCTAGACGTTCATGGTTAACTGGCATGCATTGACAACAGTTTCAGGTGCATCAATTTTGAAGACGTAACAAACGCACCAATAAGTTCCCACAATTCAATGATACATTCGGTCGGTCGATTCACATTCGCCAGTCCGTGCCTGCTGGAACATTTAGGGTATATCCTCGTTTGATGGACATCTAGGTCTGTCGTTACCTGGCAAATCGTACACGCATTCTTTCTTCTCTAACCTTGTCCGATATTACACCAGTGTTAAAAATAACGACAAAGAACTATAGCTGAAAGAGTGGAGAATCAGTAACCCACTTTAAGACCAATCCACAAGTGGGACCGGATGTAGTGAGATATAAGGCGACCACTACATCGAGGAAACATTAACACTAAGGGAAGTTGAACTAATTGATTGTGGTGTGGTTGACAGGATATGTGCTTACATATTGGTTGGGGGCGAGATGGTCCAAGGGATTGGAGCGCGAAATTACCGACCGGAAGGTCCGTGGTTCGAACCCGACCTCTGCCTCTCGACTTCCCCTGTCTGGGTTTGGGCAACCTGGCAGTATCCCAGTCCTCGTGCTTCCTTCTGGTGGCATGGCAGTCAGGCACCGAAAGGGTGCTAAGCTGAATGATTCGATTCTACATATCGGTCAGTCAGTAGTCAAGACATTGCGGTCACATGTGACGAACCAACGAGCGTGCGACTGGATAGCATTGATAGAGTTGTTGGTTTGTGAACCGGGCTTGGTACTTGGACTGCAAATGTCACCACTCGAAAAGACATCGCCAGCACACAGTTAGATGGGTGGAAGCGAAGTCCCTGTCGGGTGGAGGCCAGCCGATAAACGCACATTCAATTTTAAGCATTCTACCAGGCTGTTTCTGAATGGGTCCGATTACGCCGTGGTTACCAAGACTTATCGTGACGTCGCATCGTTGCGGTGGTTGTGTCACCGCCAAAGTTACGCTTATTCCGGGAGTGAGCTCATCATCCAGACAGGATAAACGACCACCAATCAGATCGTTACACATGGGTGGGAGACAAGTTGCGAACCGAAAGATCCGTCAGGATGGACTAAATGAATGAGCGTTTGGATGGCTGCCGTGGAAGAGAAAGCCTTGTGTTTGATCAGCTCTTGGGGACGAGATGGCCCAAGTGTTAGAGCGCGGAATTTACTGACCGGAAGGTCCGTGGTT